AGAGTGCCCCGGATTCCGGGATGCGCCGAAGCACAATGATCGATATCACTTTGCGGATAGAGTTTAATAAAGTGATGGGCCGCAGACTGGTTACAGGACCCTTGGGCTTGTTAGGCTTAGCGAGAGGTATGAGTATTCCTGGTCCAATAGGTCGATAAATTGGCACCCTGCGAGAGCGCAGCGTTGACGAAATTTGCTATGACGGCGCTAGCACCTCGGATCCATATTTCAGGAGCTCTGCTGGGATTTTATCCGGACCACAGGCCTTCCCGTTTCGCAGGCGCTTGAGGGCAGTGGTGACTTCAGATTCGGAGATGGAAGTGGCGAGGGAGTGTGGTGATGGCGGTGGTATTTCACCTGCTGTTTTGGCACTGAATTGTGAGGAGAAGTGATCTCGAACTCGACTGGCCTTGTCTGTGGCATGAGCAAGAATACATCCATCAGCTCGCTCGACAATCAATGGTGATCGTTGTCCACTACCACTCTTTAGCTGCGCTGCTGCAGTAAACATCTGAGCAGATGTAGGTGCCTTTTCAACCCGCTCTGCAATTCTATCCAGGCGTTCCATGGCATCGCTGCGCTGAATATTTCTGATCTGGTGCATGATGCAGTTCCGCTCCCTCTTTAGCTCTTCTGGATCGTGATGGCCTGATTGGTGAAGTAATCTGATTTCCCGTTGGCGCCGTGAGAGGGTTTCAACCTCTGGATTAGGTACACAAGCCCTGCGTGAACCGCTTCTGTGCATGCGTCCAAGAGTACTCTCTGCCACGTCGATGACCGCTTGCGCTGTTGGGTCCCAGGTACTGATCACGGAGCCACTGTCAGATGACCCACAAAATGCAGGTTGTTCACGCAGTTTCTGGCAGAGGCTGGACTCATATTCCTTACGGTCGTCAGCGTTTTCTAGTGTCTGGATTGCGATGGGAGCAGCGGTCTTGCCTGCTGCGGCAATGTGTACACGGTATAGACCAGTCAGTTCCATGTCCGCAATGACTATTTTATGATCGCTGAATGTCTTGGTTCTAGCATACGAACGAGCTCTCACAACTAGTGGCGTGTAGCGCTTTGGGATCACGATGTAGTCAATCATGTTGTGGATCATTTTCCTGAGGCCATCAGGGGATGCCATGCATCCAGTCCATGTGGTTCTATAGCGCATTGAGTAGCGGAAGAGCGTATTAGCCAACACCAGATGATGCATGTTAGCCCACTCTACCAGCGCTTGACTATTGTCATTTCTTACACCTTTGCCATATTGACCCACACACGCTGCTTCACCTGCTCCGACTTTGCTGTTAAAATCACCAAGCCCAATCACGAGTGTTCTTCCACTGCACTTGCTCCAGGCTGTGGACAAGGCGTCATAGAACCTTTCACGAACCTCACGATTACTCTGCGCTGCTGGGTTTGTGGGGCCATAATGCCACAACGAAACGAACAGGCAAGGTATTGCCCTTGCCTTGCGGAATGGAGAGGTCGACAGTTCCGACTCGGTCGGAATTTTTTTGAATGTTGATACAAATTTGTTGAGCATGTTCAATATGATAAATCCACTACCTCCATGTCTGCCCTCTGCTTGACCGAAGCTGACAAACCGATGCAAATCACCGAGAGGCTTATCGACGGTCGTTGTCATCTTGAGCTCCTTAAGTCCGGAGAAATCAATACGATAGGCGTCCATGTCATGAGCTAGTTGCTGTTGCTTCGACGCAGAACAAAGTCCGCGCACGTTGAACGTGGCGAAACGAAACCCCCAAGGTATCATTTTTCAGAAGATTTATTGAAAGTTATTGAAACGTTAGATGTCACAAGCTTTGACAGTCAGATAAGAAGGAGAAAAAAGAGAAGGAGAGAGAAAGAAAAGAAAGCTAGGCTGTCAGCCTAACACCGAGGTTATGGATATTGCTCTAATAATTTTAAAAAAACTTGAAGCGGTATACATAATATTATAGTTGATGTAGTTGGGTCATGACGGAAGTAGAGGTGGAGCTACGGGAGAGATGAACTGATTATTCCCAGGGTGAGGGTGACATCGGTTGGACGAGTATGGCGATCACGAAGACAGTTGAACATGATTTTCAAAGGTAACTAAAACTCTTTTTGCAAAAGAAGTCCACTAATGAATACTGAGAAGAAGTAATGTTTTCTCTTTTCCGTGTTGATCTCTCGCATGCAGGGACACCTTGGTATGGCGATACTCATGTAACATTAATTTTTGTTGTACGTACTTTGAAGTATGGCCACTTGCAAGTACCGGTACGAAAAAAGCACAATTTCCGAGCTCCATAAGTACAACAAAGTGAATATCTATACCCGCGTGCCAAGCATAATATGAGGATTTTGCGAGCATAATGCGAGAATCCATGAAAGCATAATTCCATGATTTCGCGAGCATAATCCGCCGGAGCCTAGTGAGCATGTGCCTGATAGTGACCTGCAGCTTAGAGTGTGTGTTGGGAAGTTTGATTTCTTGTTTGATTTCCTGTTTGATTTCTTGTTTGATTTCTTGTTTGATTTCTTGTTTGATTTCTTGGCCAATCTCTTTTGGAGGGATACCACAGAAGGTCGAGAAAAAAGCAAAATGAACCTTTTTCACAATGCATGTTGAGCACACGTACACCATTTAACCTGCTGCACAGATTGGGGATTTGAAGGAGTTGAACTATGTCTTCATCTCACACCACATGCAACTGAGTTTTTCACGGTCTGCAGCAAGAACCTACTCAAGTAGCTATTGCAAAAAAACAGAAAACCAGGTACCACTCATTGGGGGGGGATTCAAAGAATAAGGAAAGTAAGCAAATACTTTTTTTTAATCCTAAATATTTTGACTGTAGCACTTCCATAACCAAATATGAGGAATGGTGTGTTTCTAGCTACGTGTGACCTCGCCCTTTTCCTGTCGACTTGAATTCTCACTTGACTGACTTACGACTGCCACCCAGAGCACACGAGAAGTCCATCGAACTTTCCACTGGGCAAACCTGCAAGAAAGCACCACTCTCTGCTCAATACACAGTGTTTCGGGGTATTCAACCTTCATCAGTTGAGCTTGAGTAGGCTGAGGACGATTGTGTCCAAAGAACACCACTTATTATAGTAGAAAGGAAAAAGACATTATGGATACGAGTAAGAGCAACTCTCCATCACTGTAACATGATACTTTATACAGTCAGAAAGTGCAATAGGGAGGTTCCGGAGTACGATTTTTCGTGCCAAAATCCTTGGAGGCTCTACGGATTTTTTATACGTCGTTTTCGAGCAGTGAAATGTTCCGGGGTACGGAACTTATGTGTTTGCCGTCATTGCCTAGGTTACGATCGCAAACACGTCACATTCCCGCGCTATGCCTTTTTATTTTGAAATTTTGTACCGAAATCAAAACTTCCCGTGAAAAATCGATGTTTCTCGTACCAAATTTGTACGCGAAAAATCGTTCTGCACCCGATGACGCAAAATCTCCATACGAAACATGGTTCGTATGAAAGCCAGTCCACACGGATTCTCCGTGCCGAAAAATCGTATGGAGCACGCCTGGAAAAAATCCGTAGCGCCCATACGGATTTTGGCACGGAAAATCGTATCCCGGAACCTCTCTAATAACCTTATTATAGTGGTTGTGTTTTTGTTTTGTTTACCACCTGACACAGCACATACACATACTTTGCATATACACTTGTGATATATAATAGATCGCCTTTAGCATTCCCACACTTGAAAGTGTTCTTCTACATGCTGTGATAGTCTTATCTTCTTTCTCCTGTTTAGGTCACCTTACAGGTGATGATTGTAAACTTTAGTGTTAGTGTTAGTTTTCTTGCCTTCATGCCAAATTGTGTCTGTGTGTACATGTATGTGTGAGTTTTCACTTCTTTCGTTCTGTTTAGGTCACCTAACAAGTGATGATTGTTTAGTTTGCTGGCCTTGCCAATTGTGTCACCACGATGTGTTAGTTCAAGGACATTCATCTGCCTGCATTATTAGTCTTTATATTTTGTGTTTTTGCCTCCCCTTCCTCAATGCCCTGATGCTGCCCAATGGGCGAAATATTGGCAAAGTTATTTATTTATCTATTTGGTTCAGCTGAGAGCCTGTTGCCGGAATGGCGATATTTTCAAGTGTTTTTTTTTGGTTTTTTGGTGGTGTCAATTTGAATTCGCAAACCGAACGGACTGAACATGTCCAATGACAAGGAAGCGAATGAGGTCCAAGGAACCCAGAAATGGAAAACTTGGAAAGGAGACACAGATGAAAAGAGACACAGATGAAAGGAGACACAGATGAAAGGAGACACAGATGAAAGGAGACACAGATGAAAGGAGACACAGATGAAAGGAGACACAGATGAAAGGAGACACAGATGAAAGGAGGCACAGATGAAAGGAGACACAGATGAAAGGAGACACAGATGAACAGAAAACATGGGAACTAAAGTGCTCTCCAGACCACACCGTCACCAGGGATACAAACTTGCAGAGACGCTCTGTTTCCAGGGCGACAAACACCTCGTGAACACCAGTTAGCAGCGCGAGTCAGTGTCATTCACGACGTTTTTGCCTCCAACCAATGGGACAACAATGTGAAGAAGAGGAGGGAGCAACACACCCCCACTCCAAGTATCGCCAAAGGCTCCCCAACCTCTTCAGTCTCCTAAACAAATTTGAGTGAGCAAGTAAGAGTTTTATAGAGACGACAGCAAACAAGTGTGTTTTAAAACCCTTTAGTGTTTCAATAAGAATTCCAATGTATTCTCCTACATTGCTGAGCCACCGGAACATTACTGAACCGGTCTCAAACGTGGCAAAAACATGTTCACAGATCAAGTTTTTATTACTTTTGTCCGTGTGCATATAGAAAATGTGTGTGTGTGTGTATGTGTGTGTGTGTGTGTGTGTGTATGTGTGTGTATGTGTGTGTGTGTGTGTGTGCACGCACGTGCATGTATTTGCACAAATAGTCCAGTATGGATTACAATCATAATGCTAGTGTTTGGTTAAAGATGGTGTTTGGTTAAAGATGGAAGAGCAAAGAGAATGCCGCATGTGCTATTCATGTCTTATGATGTGAATAACAGACATCATTCTGTCAAAAAATCTGACTGGTTTAAAAAAATCGTTCTTGCATCTGCGGTGGCGCTTGTTGCAGTAATGGTTTCAGAATGGAATGAATTCAAAACATGTTTAGTCAGCTGCAATGTGCATGTTACTCTCCCTACTTTGCACTAAGTGAATGATGTGATCAAGCAGGATTTTCAGTGACTGGCTTCATCAAATGAGACTCTAAGTGTATGGTGTCATCACCCTGGATTTCGGTGAAAAAATGTGATAGAGCTATGCTCGAGGTGAATTATGTCATTGGGCCATTGAGTGAATAATGTCATTGAGCCAGAATCTAGGTGAATAATGTCATTGAGCCCAGACTGATAGTAAATGATGTCATTTAAGCCAGGCTGATAGTGAGTGATTACAACCGGCTGGTAATATGCTTGAGTTTGTCCAGGATACCGGCGTGGAAGAATGTGATGTCATGCTGGCCACTCTTAAGGATGAATTTCATAGAGGTTCTTCAACACATTCCAGGTGTAATGGTATTGTAGAGTGTTCTGTGTGAAGTCAGATCAGTATAGGTTGATTGGAACATTGTAACGGGACTTGGTGGGCTTTGGGAGAGCTGGAAAACAGGAGCAGGAAAAAAAGCTGTTTGCCTAGTGTGGTTAGTAAAGTCATCAGCTGAGGCTATGAATGTGCACTCTCTCTCTCTCTCTCTCTCTCTCTCTCTCTCTCTCTCTCTCTCTCTCTCCTCTCATTCTCTCGCTCTCTCTCCCCCCCCCCCCCGTCTGGGAATATTTGAGGATATGCAAAGCTCAGATGCAAGAAGACAATTGTTGATTATAATCCTTAAAAGAGGGATTTCCCCCTTTGAGACGTTGGCACAAATTCCCTTAGTTTCGAAACTTGTCTCCAGCCTTGTGGAGGCTGGTGCTTCAACTCATAGTTCTCTCTGCTTCGGTAGATTTGGAGAATATACGCCCGATGTACAGACTTGTACCTATGGTGTGTCCTCTGTAAAAATGATATGTTTTCGCTGGTCCTTAGAGCCCTGGCAGCAGTCAAAGAGATTCCTTGCCGGTGCATGCCTGGATCGGGGGATTTCCTGGTGATCCACACCTGGATTAGGGGATTCCCCTGATTAGGCTTTCTCCAAATCGGCCTTCTCCAAATCGGCCCTTTTTTCTCCTTTTCGCTCGGCTCAAAAACACATCAGATTCGGCCTCAAAATCAGATGATTGTACAAAAATCGGCTGCAAAATTGGAATACATTGGAAAATCGGCTAAGAGAATTGTTGGCATTTTGGCTTCAAAATTGGTGAGATATTGGAAGGTTGGTAGATTTTTGCGATTCTCAAAGGAACACTCCGAAATCGGCGAAAAGCTTAGCGATTTTTTGATAATTCTCGTTTTCGGCGAATTTTTCCGCCGGCCGATTTGTGGATTGTACTAGTAACAATCTTCCTACGGCTAATGTTTGCTTGAGAGGAGGTGAAAGGACACGAGTCACATGACCTTAACACACTAGTACTACCAGTGCAAGTACTGAGTACTGAAGTAGAGCAAGTACTGAGTACTGAGTACTGAGTACTGAAGCAGAGCGTTTGAGCGGTCATGCTTGCAGCAACATCATTCGTTCGTAAATGCACATTGCAAAAATATTTGGTACATTTTCGGCGATTCTCAACAGAACGCTCCAAAATCGGCGAAAAGCTTAGTGACTTTTCGATACATGCAGGTCTCGCTTTTGGCGAATTTTTCGGCTGGCCGATTTGGAGAAACGTTACCCCTGGTGATGCATACCTGGAATAGGGAATACCAAGAAGTGCCAGTTCTGATACAAACAGTAGGAAAACTTAGTAAGGGAAAATAACTAACGGGAGGGATCGAAGGAAAAAGTTCGTAATCGGTATGCAAGATGATGCCCTTCACCCTGTCCTTAACCAGTTAGAGGAATACCTTGTTGTGCAGAGCATCCTCTTGCACACTGCTGTCTAACATAGCACTGTTGGGGTGATGGCAATGTAGTTGTGATCCATTGCAATCGTGCAGCGCATCAATATCATCATAGACAACCTCAACAAGCGCACTGCTCAATGTGGTTCTGTTCGTGATTTGGTACTGCAACAAAAATAGCAAACACGAACACATCTTGCAATTTCAAATTTGGACATCACGGAGAATTTCAAAGTATTAGGAAATTAGAGACCACATGCCACGTACTGCTCTTTTCTCTCCGAAACTCAACACTTGGAAGGTGCACATCACACATAAAAATTAATAATAGCTTTAACTAATTGAAAAAAGCCTATGTTCTGCCTGCTAAAACAAGATAATTTGTGTTTTCATAACTTCGCTGACAAGCACGCATGCTAGTGCACACATGCTGGGATAAGCAGACCTCTGGTCGGCTGAGCTTAATGGGCCCCACCACCACACTGCATTATCCACCCCAGTGTCTGGAGATATGTGGTTTTTGTAGAAAAAAAAAGGAAAAAGAGAAAAAAATCACGACTGGTTGGCTAGTGAAGTATGAAGATAAATGAGGTTTTTTTTTAACCCTTTGTCCTTTCGCCCATACTTGAACCGTACACCTGTGTACAGTTCAACCCATGCATGTTCAAAGCGACCTGGAAGCTACGCGGATCACCCGATCCACATGAAAATTCACGTGCACACAGCCTATGGTATGTAGAGGATGATACACGGGTCGCTGGGGCTAGTTGCCATTTGAAAAATTTCAGGAAATCAAAGTCGAAGTTTGCTTGCGCCGTGACTTCCGACATGGCAGCACGCAGGTCGCTTGATGCAGATGAAGCGCTTGTTTGAGGATAGCTGGAGTGACCCAAGCGACAATCCTATGTCCTCTGATGAAGAGAACGAACTGGACGAAGCCTTAGTAGAAGGTGTTGATTCTGATTTAGATGACGACGCGGATTATGATGTCGTAACCGTCGACCCAACTGTCGGACATGTCGACCGCTCCGATTTGAGCGCAGGATCGGCAGAACAGCACTCGCGTGGTGAAGAGAGTGTACCACCGCCGTGTCTTACCCATCGTGGAGCAGCAGGGTCAGCTAGAATGCCGCAGCACGTGGAGCGGGAGCGTAGTCCGATCCCAGAGAGGTCCAGATTTCCGTCACCTGCGCGCCGTCAAACTCATGGTCGACAGCCGCGCAGAGCGAGGAGAGTAGCCGCACGGGGCCGCAATGCCGAGCATGTCGCCACTGGCACTCCTCTGGCTAAAGCTCCGTGTTTGCCCAACATGCCAGAGGTGCTACTCCAGGTCATACTTGTACAAATTGCACATTATTATACATAGGAAAGAATTTGAACTTCGAATTTTGCCGATTTTTGCCAAAAAATCATTTTTGATACTCTTGTTTAGCCACGCCTATCTGAGGAATTCAACCCAAACTGCACTTTTAGTTCACAATTATCATAAGCTTTCAGGAAAACATAAAGTGTACATACAAATCATCAGCTGCTTGGGAATGGTGAGTGGATTTCTTGAAGCAGGTACCCCTCACATACATTTTGGGCAAAAGGACAAAGGGTTAACCAAAGCCCTCCTACCTGAACCTGACAAGAAAAGTCTCTCCACTACTGTGCAGCATGTTTGCGAATCGTCCACTTCATCCACAACCTCCCAAGTATTACCTTTATGTTCTCTGCATAAAGTCTGACTAAGATCAAGGTTGTACTGACCCCCCCCCCCACACATTCGTAAATCGGAAAGCCATTGAGAGTTTGTAAAAGTGGAGGTTTTTGGGCCAGTAGCCCTGACCACAAATGTCATTGGCGTACTCACGCCTAGCTCACAGGAAGAAGTGTGAGACAGCAATGAAGCACTGTCTGTTCAACAGTGAGCAATGCGCTCTCCCTGGTTTTAAGGAGTGAAGAGTTAAAACATACTCCTCATGAGCTCCGGATTGCAGTCTCGTCCCAGTGAAACATCAATATTTACCCCCGCAGGTAACACCAACTTCATTCAACACGAGATGCTAAAATCTGTACTTCTATGCTTGCGCTAAAAATCGCAGTAGCTAGTGATACCCCTAGACATGGGGAATTCCCAGTAGCTAGTGATACTAGACATGGCATATTCCCAGTAGCTAGTGGAGACAGTAGCTAGTGGGGACAGTACCTAGTGAAGACAGTAGCTAATGGAGACAGTAGCTAGTGGAGATAGTACCTTGTGGAGACAGTAGCTAGTGGAGACAGTAGCTAGTGGAGACAGTAGCTAGTGGAGACAGTGCCTAGTGAAGACAGTAGCTAGTGAAGACAGTAGCTAGTGGAGACAGTACCTAGTGGGGAGCCTCTACTGTCAACACACAGGTGATGTGGACAGTATAATGCTTGGCTTGTTTGGAATAACATGCTGCAGAGAATGGACCTAGCGACGAGTAGAGGATGATGTCACGTTTACAAGTACATGTATACGTGCAATCCCAATGGATATCTGGAAGTGAGCATTGCGTATCTGGAATCATATTATGTCTATCTGGACTCCATATAAAGCAGACGACGTAAAATAAAGCTAAACAAACCAACAAGCAAACAGACTCAGCGAAGGACCGGTTCAGGTTGCTTATAACTTTGAGTTTCGTGCCGCGAGGCAGTCATCAAACAACAGTTGTCTGTTGTTGCCTAGCGCCATGAAACTCAGAGTTACGATCAACCTGAACAGTAGGGGGGGGGGGGGAGACGTGGAAAACCGTTGCCCCGTATCCCATTTTGCATTTTCAAACATTTTTTGGCCATGCAAAATTCCATGTACGCGTCGAACCCCGGACTTCACACCAGGCAAATGTGCCTTTATGAACCCTCTTGCAGGGTCCGCACACAGACATACATTAGAAGTTCAAGAATATTTCGGGGCACAAAAAAAACAAGATTTAAGGACTTTTCAAGCGACCAACCGTACAGCAAACAACCGCACCGCAACTATTAAAATATGAACAGCACGTAACGTTACGGCGGAAAATACACACTAAAGACCTAGGGAGCGATTTTATTACAGGCAGAGTACATGTGACTGAGCATCAAGAGCATTAAAAGAGAGTCACAGCGTGATGACCATAATTACAAAATATTATAAGAAGACCATGAAGATATAAATAAAATTAGACTAAGAAATGAAAAAGAATGAAAAGGCAATTGGTGGGAGAGCCACAGTAAAGAGAGAAAACACTAAAAACACTAAAAGACAATGCTAGCTCAGTTCCTTTGAGCATTAACAAGGCTGTCCAATTCAGACACAACAGAAGCAGCTCAGCAGCCTTCGTTTTCATCGTACGACGCATGCTGTTGGACTTGGACACCCAAGTAAGGTCGCTGGTCTGCTCCGCTTTCTCCGAGAACTCATCTGCAGATAAAGAGAGCGATGAGATGGTGTCTTCCAGTTGCTTCTTTTTCTTTCTGCACGCGCCAACCTCCTCCTCCGCAGCCTTCCGCTTCCTGGACTGAGCAGTGTCCTGTTCCTCTCTGCGCTGGTTGTCCAGGTGCCGCTGGTATACCTGACGTGCAGAGCTGGCAGCCAGGAGGATAGCAGGTGATGAGACATCAACATGCCCAATGCCACCAACTGCAGCAACGTGGTCGCAGATTGAGCACCGTGCAACAAACCCAGCTTCTGACAGATTGTCAGCCTCCACCTGGCCGTTCACGCTGAAACCTCTCTCGACAGTAGCCTGCCCATGAGAGAGTAGCAGGAGGTCACGAACAAGCTTCCATAGCTTCGCATACCTGGGGTTGCTGGCCATGTCGGTCCAAAGCAGGTGGTCGATGCGTGCATCTGCTGAGGTCGGATCGAATGCAGCATATGCAGACCTCTTCAGAGGGATGACGGAGGAGAGGAAGTCGCTGTACTCTTTCAGGATGTCTTCACAACCAAATTCTTCGCCTTCGACTCTTCCTGCTTCATTAAAAGCAGCACAAACAGGCTTCATCAGCTTCATGCACTCTTCCTTCCCAGAAGACACAGCCATCTTTCGTGGATCAAGGCAGGAGGCAGAACGAACCAGTGGAAAGGAGAGTGGCGACTTTTCCTTTAGCTTCACTACCAGTGCAACAACAAAGTCCCTGCACTGGGCTCTCAGGTCGCGGCACTGGAGCTGGCTGATCTTCTTGCCACTGATGAGGTGCCGTGCATGCTCCTGTGCAGCAAATCCCATGTTCACCTTGGTCACTGGCAGAAGAACTGACTCATCAGTGACATCGATGGCCATCGGGCGAACCGTGGAAGAGCTGGCACTGAGGGTATCCTGCTTCACAATGCGGCTCAGGAGGCTACGTAGCATGGACTCCAGGGCACTATGCAGGAATGGCACCATCGGGTAGTCAGTCAGGAACTTGACAAGGAATGGCTGCACCTCCCTAGCAATCGAAGCAAAGCATTTCACCTTGACAAGAACAGCCGGATCCTTGGACCATCTTCGAATTACGTCGTATGAGTCACAACCCGGGACCTTCAGGGTTTTGTCCTCGACACGAGCAACGAAAACCAGGACACGCTCACCGCCCTCTCTGCTACAGGCAGATTTTCCACCCATCGGTGCTGGCAAAATTTCAGAGGAAAGACAATGGACTCTGTGCCTCTTGTGAAGTCCTCCCGTCTTGCAGGGCTGTGCCGGAAGCAATAGTAGAGAGCCTTCAACAGCGCTACCACACCCCAGCCAGACTTTCTTGCACCATCCTGGAAAGCTCTGTGCACAATGTGTAGGCCACAGCTGCCGATGTCAACGATAGATTTATTGTTTGTGCGCTGGAGCTCTTCCTTCAGCAATCGGTGAAATTTCCAATTTACCGCTGGTCCATCCATGGACACCTGGACCAGTTTGCTGAGGCCGAGTTGATCGGTTGCGGCATGGAAATGGTCAAGCAGATCGTCGGCTGTTGAGTGTCCCAGGTACACTGATGTATGGTAGCGAGTTGCTACAGAGGCGCAATCCACACCGGAACTCCAAAGACGTACGTGAACGTCCATCTGTTTCGTTTTCGTCTTGAAGTTGTGGCTCTCGTCGAATAGCACCACGAATGACTCCGCCTTGTTCACTTTCTTCTGCAGCAGGTCTTGGAAGTACGTACCAAGGCCATAAGTACACAGATAGCCGCATTTG